TTCTCATTTCCCACAAGGCATATGTGGAAACCAAGGCTCAGAGAGGTGGTGTTTCTTGCTTAGTTAGCAGTTAGCCAATCCTCCCCTACTTGGTTGCTCCCTTTCCAGTTAATAACTTTATCCATCCCATCTGTGCATGCGCACACAAATGCGCGTGTGTATTTATGTGTGTCTGTATGTGTGCATTCCTGTGTATGCACATGGAGGCCAAAGGTCAACAACATCAGGCATCATCCAATCACTCCCCATCTCATTTTTTGAGACAGCATCTCTCACTGAACTAAGAACTCACTGTGAGCAAGCTATAAGGGGCAAGGCAGGAAGCAGCCCCCTCTTGGGCTCTGCATCAGCTCCTGCCTCTGGGTTCCTGCCCTGCTTGAGTTCCTGTCCTGACTTCCTTTGGCGAGGAACAATATGGAAGTGTAAGCCCAACAAGCCCATTCCTCCCCAATTGCTTTGGTCGGGCTGTTTCATCACAGCAACGGTGACCCTAATGTCTTAGGGTCCCTTCCTTATTTGCGGTGCTGAAGATGGAACTCAGGGTCCTGCACAGCTGAGCAAATTTTCTACCATTGAGCTCCATCCTCTTGAGGTACCTGAACGTAGGATCAGGGGCTGTTGGAAGGAGCTATGATTCCCAGGACGGACCTGCAGCGTCAGGGATAACCTCGCCAGATCTCAGCTTCTAGGTAATGGAAGATCCTAGTTTGATATTCCTAAATAAGGATGGAATGAGGCTTCGGATGAGAAAGGGCTCTGCAGAGGACCCAAATCCCGGTGGTGGCTGTGGTGGCATCCTTAGCTCGGGCCTCCCCTCCCCCATCCTTGCCTCTCTTCACCAACAAGTTAACCAGCAACTACTCATAATCAGGCTTCTGAATCAGTGGCTGGCCCCTCCCCTCCGTGGTCTTGTTTTTTTCCCCCCACCTCCCAGGCAGCTGAGAAGATTAACATTCAACAGCACAAGTAGAAAGAAGAAGCATGATCCAAAACCTCCCACTCCTCTGTTGGAGTGACCAGGAGTCCTGTAGGCAGGACCCCCTTCCTTAGAGTTTGAAATCCAGTCCAAGTCCCATGGAACAGTCCGGCATCCAGTATCCAGACTGACCTGGTCAGGGATGCTCTGGCCCACAAGGCAAGCTCAGAGACGGTGTTTGGGAATTCAGTAAGGGACGGACAAAGAGGGACACCCCCCCGCCCCCGCCAGAAGGGCTGGGCTGAGTGCCAGGGTGATAAAAACACTCAGAGCATGTGCTCAGGGCAAGAGTGGGTCCCCGGGTTTGTGGGTGGAAACTTGTATAGCGGAGGACAACCATGGCTAGTTCTTGGGTGGAGAGGGAAGCCTGTATGTGGGAACCAGAGGCTTCTGTTTACAGCCTACCAGGCCCCTCCTTTGGGAGGACAAGGCATCACAGAGATTACCCAGTACAGCGGGGTGGGGGGGGGCGGGGGACGACACAGACGGGAGGAGGGCTGGAAGGCCTTTCCGGGGAGCCCCTGCTCCCTTGAGAGGCACCTGCCTGGGGCCAGGGAGGCAGCTGGCATCTCACAACCCTGCAATTAGTAGACAAAGTCAGCGTCTTCTGCTGATGGTGGCAGTGGGGGCAGCAGGCTGAGCTGCAGCTGGCTCCTGAGGACTACCTCTGCCTCTAGTCCCCACCCGATGCCTTGGACAGGTTGGTTGGCAGGAATGGCTGTCAACCTCCTAGGTGGGCAAGGCACTAGGATCTTGGGTGGCTGGGTAGAGCAGTGGAGGAAGGCAGAAAGAACTTGGGCAGTGGTCTTACAGGAGGTGGGCTTGGCCAGCCCATGGTTCAGCCCCGCTTTGTACAGAGAAACTAAAGCTTATCATGAGCCGTGTCATGTAAACCTGGAGTGCTTCAGTGAGAACGGCTTTCCTGGAGAGACAAGACCTGATAAAGACTTCTTGAGTTAAGGATCTTGGCTAGACAGCAAGGACAGACTCTGGGGTCCCCAACCTTCAGTCCCAATGCAGAGTGACAAGTTAGACCTGGTTCCAGCCTATCTGGGAACTCCAAGGCCTGGGATAAGAGGCGCTGAGTCCCTGGGCTGCCTGCTCTCTCCAAAAGTCTTGGATGCCCCCTCCCCAGACAAGTAGCTGGGGTGGACCGGGATCTGGCGTCAGCCTTCTGTCACCTGGCCATCCATTTTCTTCCACTCTTTTCATAATACCCCTCTGCCATTCAAGATGTAGCTGTGGCTGTCCTGGAACTATGTAGACCAGGCTTGCCTTGAACTCAGAGGTCTGTCTGCCTCGACTTCTGAGTGCTGGGATTAAAGGTGAGCATCACTACACCCAGTTAATCCTAACTTTCTCTATCCCTCATTCATTCCTCCTTCCTACTATCCCAGGACACTGTGCTGCTGGCTGGTGGGGCAGGGGTAGCAGACAAACCACCATTCACACTAAGAGAGAAATGGGTAGGCTGAGGGGGGCTGTTGAGGGAGGGTAATCCTGGGTGAGGCCGGGGCGAGGGGAGGTGAGTGCTTCAGGCAGGCTCAGAGAGGCCAGATATGCAGAGAAGTGGGTGAAATCATAGGCTCCATGTCCTGGATGGGGAACATGGGATGCTCGGCATTCAGGCAGCTGGGGTCGGGATGGGGTCATGGCGACAAGGCTGTGTGGTTGTGGGATAAGCACTTGTTCCCCCTGAGAGCCTGGATCTCGGCATAAATGGGACAGCGATAGTGGTACCCGTCTCACCAGCTGGTGGGAAAGACTGGTGAAGAAGCTGCTGTAAAGCTCGGCCGTCACCCTTCCAGTGACCCAAGCCTGTAAGCGATGTGTGTGTACTTGGCATGGCTGTACCTCACACTGTCTGCCTTCCGTCTCTCCCCTGCATTTGTCCAAAAGGGATCCTGCCCCAAATGCTTCCCAAAGTAGGTAAAAGCTAAGGCTGCAGGGGCTGGTGGGAACCGGGGTGCCAAATGCCTCTCATCTCCTGAGAGCAGCTGCGGCCACGTGGGAGCTGTGGCCACATGGGAGCAGGGGCTGTGCGGTCAGAGGTGCTGACGGCTCAGGAGAGGGAAACCCACATTTGGACGGGCAAATTTCCCAGGACTAATATTAGCAGAGCATTAAAGATTTTCCTTAAGGCACCAAGTGAGCCAAAGCTAATGCTTCTGTGGGCCATGACCCCTAGGTGACTTTGACGCAAAGTAGCTGTGACCCACAGAAGCGCTGTGAGAAGCGCCCAGCCCCCATCCTCCACATCCCCCAGATGCTTGGAGCCTTACTCCGAGGCTTCCCTTTCCCAGGCCTGATCCTCTGTTCACTGCCACTCTCCAAGCAGTCTGGTGGAAAGATAGGCACTGTGAGGAGGCCCCCGCTCCACACTATCTCTCTGGAGGTGCCAGGGAGTCTGGGGGAGCCAAGGCTCTGCTCTGTGTCTGGGAATAGCAGCTGCCGGTGGGGGCCTGGCTTCTAGCTCCTGGGGGTCAAAGGGCAGCATTCCCAGTCTTTCCTTGGGCCCATTTCCTGTTTGAGAGAGGAAGAAGAAAGATCCCTGGCAGGAGAGGGTCCTTTCCTGTTGGGCCAGATCCTGGGGACAGCTTTCCGGGGGGTGTGTGAGGTAGGATGGGGATGGGGGTGCAGCTACCTTCCCCCCCCTTTCTTCCTTCACCTGGGAGCCCAGGAGGAGACCTGGAACTCTGACACCCCACCAACACCATCAGTTAGGCCTGGTCAGGACAAAGACTCAGGCTCTGAGCCCTGACTCCCAGCTAGGGTCCCTCGGCAGCCTTGTTTCTTCCCTGGTCCCCGGGGCTCACAGCACCTCTGGATCCCAGCAGTGTGGCCTCCAGGGACCTTCGTGACCAGATCACACAGAGATAAAGTGTTTACTGCAGCTCTCCACTCTGAACAGGGAGCTTTTTTATGAGCTCAATTTAACTTCTCTTGGTGTTAGGCTGAGCCCTAGCCCTCTTGCATCCCCTGAGTACAGGAAGCTCACCACCTGCCCATGGGATCAACCCTGACTTCTGCAGATTCCCTCTGACTTCGGGAAATTCAAGGGTCTGCGGCTGTGGCTCCAATATTGATTTCCTTCATATTCTATATAAATATGCTACTTAAGTTTGGAAATTAGATGTCAAAAATAAAATTACCATCTGGGTGTGGTAATACGTGCCTATAACCCTAGTACTTGGAGACTGAGGAAGGGGAACCGAGTTGAAGGACAGTCTGGGCTGCATAGTTCCATACTAGCCAGACCCTACCTCAAATAAACAACCAAAATGAGGTTTCCTATTTCCTTTGAGGAAACCTCTGCCAATCAGCTAATCCTGCAGCAACCAGCTCTTCACCCTGCTAGCAAATCCTCTTGCCCCCAGTAAACCTCCATAAACCTCCAAGAATTTTTGACGTAGCTTTTTAGTTACAAAATTTATAATTATTAGTGTGTGTGCACCTGTAGAGGTCAGAAGACTTTTTCTTTTGGTTTTTTGAAACAGTGTTTCTCTTTGTAACCCTATCTGTCCTAGAATGAGTTCTGTAGACCAGGCAGGCCTTGAACTCCCAGAGCTCCGCCTGCCTCTGCCTCCCAGGTGTTGGGAGGCACCACCACCTGGCTGAGGTCAGAGGACTTTAAAGGGCTCATTCCCTCCTTCCATCTTTATGTGGGTTCTAAGGATGGACGGAGTCCAGGGTCTCAGGCTTGCCAGCAAGTGTTTCCCCAGCGACCCACAGAACACTAACCTACAGGTGGAAACCCCGAGGCTCACAGATGGTGAGGGATGTCCCTGAGGCTGCAATCAGTAAAGGGAAGAGCAGAGATTGAGCCCGCGAGGTCGTGGAACTGAGGCCTCTCCCTGTGCACATCAGACAGGCACCACACTTCCTTCCTTCCTGCCACACTGGACCCCAGATCGGCCAGCCTCTCGGGCCCTCATTCGTTCATGCAACAATCCTGGACTCCAGTTCAGCGTTAGGTGCAGGTGATGTGGACCCACCATGCCTCCTGCAGTTTCAGGACTCCGCCTTGAGAGCTTGAACTCCATTTATTACAAAAGTCTGAGTTCATGGTATCTTATCATGAATAACCCCTGCAAGACCACCAAGCCTCCCTCAACATGTTCCATCCCTGCGCGAAGTCCTATTCGGGTAGGGTCTTAAGAACCGGGTGCTGGGCTATCCTGTGTTTATAAAATCGAATGGGTCCAAGCAACCCCAGGCATATATACAATATACATATCCAACAGGATATGGAGTGGGTGAGATTGCAGCTTCCTGGGAAAGGAGGAAGCGGTCCACAGCAGGGGGGTGGGGCCCAGGAGAGTGCAGAGAGCGTGGCCAGCTGCACAGTTTGGTTTGAGTGGATGCTCAGCTGGGCACCTGTGGCATCGGGCCAGTCCTGTTCCGCCCTGGATGTTCTAGGCCACCTGGATTTGCAGGTCCTCATCCTCGTCGAGGTCACTGGCTCCATCTCCGGCTTCCTCGGTGCCAAATCGGGTACTGCGGATCTTCCCAAAAAGGGGGGCATTTTGCTGCTGCCTTCGGAGCCTGAGGGGTGGGGGTGACAGGTCAGAGCAGGAGTCGGAGAGCAGCTGTGCTGGTAGTGGCTCCCCCCTTTCCAGCTGCAGTGCACTCAGATGGGGGGACTGCTGTTGCCACCCCAATTTATGCACAAGGACAAGAGGCACAAAGGAGTTAAATGACTTGCCTAAAGTCACTCAGACAGGAGATAGTGGGGTTGTCCACTGAGCTGCAGTGCCAGCTCTCATGTAGATGGCAGACTTAGAGAGGTGACTGGGATGGGGTTGGTCCCTCATAGGGATCCAAGAGACCAAGAGATAGGGCGTGGAGCTCACTACGCTCCTAGTGTCTGCTCAGCCCTAGTTCCTCACGGTACAATTTCCAAAGGCAAAATGTGCTAGACAAACTTCATCCATACGATGAGGAGGAGGAGGTGGAGGAAACACACTGCCCCCAACCAGGCAGTTGCTCCGCGCATCTTACTGGAAGGCATGAATTATTAACGAGGCAGGGCGGGGCGAGAGTGAGGTTCCATTACTGCACAGTGATTTAGTGCGCTGTCCCGGAACATTAAAGCAAGAGAAGTTACAAACTAAAACGAGGCAGCAATCCTGGGTGGCCCTGCCCACCCCCGGCAGAGGTGCTGGGGAGGCTGAGCAGAGCCAGGCTGCCCATTTTGGGAGTTTATGGCTCCCCAGGAATGTGGAGGAGACTTCTGGAAAGCCCCAGGCTGTGAGTGACCTGTTGGGGTGTGTATGTACAGGGCTAGACCGTGTGGAGCTGGGCATGCAATAAGCCCGACTCGGATCAGTGCCTGGGCCCTATATAAACTTCAGGTGTCACTCCAGGCTATAGGGAAACCGAGACTCCGTTCATTACGCCACATAACCGTGAGGCCTGGCTCCCAAACTTCTCCCAACCACAAACTCTCAGGACACAGTAGTACTAGGTAGATGCTCAATAAACCCATTGCGGAACACCAGGAGATTCCACTAGGCCACCCACTATTGGGCAGTCATCGAAGGGCTCTTGACACAATATCTACCTAGCCCACACCTAAGTCCCCTTCCAGGAAAGACAATGAGAGTGGCCAATCAGTGCCAAGAGCAACTCAGTATTTGTTGGTCCAGATGCTCCCCCCCCCCCCAGTTCTCATGCAGCCCAGGCTAACCTCCAATTCCCTATGTAGCTGAGGATGACCGCCAATGTCTCTACCTCTTGAGTGCTGGCATCACACCCGTGGAACCCCAAGTTAGGTTTATGTGGCGCTGGGAATCAAACCCAGGTGTAGAATATTTGCAGCAAGCTGCCGAGCTACATCCCCCGTCAGGTGCAAATGACATCAACAGAGGCTGTCTGTTGGCTCAGGAGCTTTTTAAAGATTCAATAAGCCCTCTTCACTTCCACAGTGACTGGTCTCCATTTTACAGTGGGGAGAGCTGACCCGCAAGGGTTCAGTGTCCGAAGATCTCCCAGTCTTTCCCCTACCCAAGAATTCTGGTTGCAGGACCACAGGTAAGAAGGCAAGTATGGGTGTGGCCACACTAGCCACATGCTTTGGGGCTTCTTAGCTCTGATTCTGGAGGGCTCTGCCTGAAGGGCTTTGACACGTCCAGGTGGTCTTGGAAGTGGGAAGTATACGAAGGAGACAGGATTTTGAGTGTTGGGACAGGGCGTGGGGACAGGAAAGGGGACGGTGTGCCGGGTGGGTGGATCTAAGCACCTCTCCACTTCTTTCAGGGACCGACCGTTCCTGCTATAGCTGAAGGACTTGGCCTGTCACTCTCTGCCATTCCCTGCCCTTCAACCTTTCATATTCCTGCTGACCCTGGGGTCACCCATCCCTAAGACCCCAACACATGCTGCTTCCTGCCAAGGACGCCCAGCATCACTGGCTCTGCCCAGAGCCCGGCCTCCTTGGCAGCCCTCCGTGTACTCACACCACCGGCCGGCCCACCCCAAGGAGACAATTCCAGAGCCCACAGATGGGCTGCCTTCCTGCAGCCACTCCCCACCAGCTTCCTGGCCCTGGCCCTTCCTGTTCAGAGGGGACAGGATTCAGGCCCCAGGAGCTCTTCCTTCTTGGCCTTCCCCTCTGGCTCTCTTGAGAGTTCTGGCCCTTGCCCTGTGCATTTAGGGTCCCCTCACCCCCGCAGAGCACCCCTGCCCACCTGGACTGCAGGTGTTCCAGCTGCACCTGCAGGTTCTCGCTCTGCTCTGTCTGCTCGTCCAGGGACCGCTGCAGCTTCCGTGCCTGGTTGTGGGCCTCATCCAGCTGGGACGAGCAGGACAGAGAACAGGAGGATCAGCTTGGGCAGAGGCTGCCTGGCTGCTCAGTCACATCCCCTGGTCTCTGTGCCCAGTTTGTTCTCCATCGCTGTCGGCCTCCGGCCTCCAAATCTACCCAGCCTGCCTCAGTCTAACCAGCACCGACTCAACTGCCCAGCCACATGGCTTCTCCCCCTACTCACCTGCTTCTCATCAGATGGCTTTCAGGCCCTGTCCATTCACCCGGCCAGTCATCAATTTGTTTGTACACCCATCACCCAGTAGCCACCTGTTCCTCTAGCTCATCCATCCGTCCGTCTAATCCTCCGTGCACGTGGAATCCTCCTGCCTTCCCCCTAACCATCCACACCGCCATTCACCTCACCCACCCCTCCACCTGCCGTCACCCGCTCCCCGCCTTAGGTGCCAGACCCCCGTATACAGCAGCACAGGTGGACATGCGCCCCACTCCTCTCAGGGCTGCCGGTACTTGCCTCATCCTCAGCCTGGGCCAACTCTTTCTTGAGCTCCTCCACCCGCAGCCGCAGCTTCTTTACCTCCGTCTCGTGCTGCTCCACACGCCGGTTGGCGTGTGCCAGCTCTGCCACCTTCTCCTGGAACTGCTTTTTGAGCTTGCCATGCATGTGCTTCAGATCTGCCAGCTCCTACAGGGGTGGGAAGGCTCAGGTCACATGCTCACTCGGGGAGGCCCGTGGATCAGTCAGGTAGGGGGGCCTGGCGTCTCCTCTACAGGAGTGTCACACTTGCTGTTGAACGTTAAGGCTTAGTGATCAACTGCGGCTGGCAGTGCCATCTAGTGAGGTCAGAAGGCTGGGTGGGTGACTCAGTGGCCCCACTTGGATGTATAACTGCAATGAGCCAGGAAGGTGTCCAGTGGGCTGGGGAGCTTCAGGTCAGGATCTGGGGAAGCAGTGAGGTCTACAGTCTTGGTGACGAGCCTATGTTAAACTTCTAAGTCTGGGGATGAGCCAGACTGTGGAGTAACTATGTGGCACGGTCAGAGTGGGACAGCCAGGAAGAGAGATGGCCATTCCGCTCTGGGGTGTCTCAGTTCCCATCTACAGAAGGAGGGGAGTCCAGCCCTGTCTTTACTCTCTCCTACACCAGCTCCAGCAGCGTCTGGTTGTCTGTCACCCGCAGCCGTGGGAACTGCAGTGGCTCCCCTCCTCTGCCTTCCACCTGGCAGTCGCCCACCCCACTCTGCTTACTACTCTCACAACACGGCCCACAGTTCCTGCTTCCTCTGCCTGGGCCCCCTTGTCACACCCGTCCAGTCGGGAGTCCCCATTTCTTCTGTGACTCCCCAGTTCTCGCCCTACCCTCTGGAAAGTCAGTTCACTACCAGCTACCTTCAAGCTCCCCACCACCCGCCCGAAGTCTTTTCAGGACTAGGCCTAAGCACATGTGATGTGAGCAATATGTCCTTCTAAGCCATCAGATTCACGGAACAGGTAGACACACCAGTCTGTCCACTGCTGTCACTATCACACAGCAGGTGTTCAGTCCATGAAGCCACCATAATTACCAATGGCCTAATCTTATAGTTGTTTAATAAATGCGGTTATAGGCTGAATATATTTTATCTAAAGTGCCTAGGCTCAAAAATATTTCAGTTTTCATTGAATTCTCTCTGTAGGCAAGGATGACTTTGAACTTCTGATCTTCCTGCCTCTACCTCCTGGGCACTGGGACGACATCGCACTACATTACATGGAGCTGGGGATGGGACCCAGGGCTCTGTGCATGCTTGGCAAGTACTCTACCAAACTTTATCTTCAACCCAGATTCCAGAATTTCTGGACTTTGGGGGTATTCACATATATATCAGGAGATCTCTTGGGGACAGGACCTGGGTCTAAACATAGAATCCATTAGTTTCGCATATGTCATTAGGGCCTGACTGCAATTTTCTTTAGCGTTTTTATTGCGCTGGCATTTTGACTGGGACCTACCACACCTAAGAGTGAAATTTCTGCTCTTTTGAGGCATCCTGTTGATGCCCGAAGTTGGGAGTTTGGGAGCCTTTTGGATGTCTGGTTTGGGGCTCAAGGAGGCTCAGCCTGAACTGCAGTTATCCGCATGCAGGACATACAATAAATGTGTTGATTAGATGGATGGGAGCCCTGGGCATCGCCCCCAGCCCCACCTTGTTCTTCTCAAAGAGAGCGGCCTGGCTGGCTCTCAGGTCACAGTCCAGGGCACTGGCATTCTGCCGCCGTCTGCGGGCCAGCGCCTCCTCCAGGTCTCCGACCTGTGCACGCAGCTTCTTGTTCTCCCTCTCTAGGCCCAGCTTCTCCGTCTCTAGCCTCTCTCTGCGGCCCCACTCGGCTGCATTTTCTGCCTGAAGCCTTTCCATCTGCAACAGCGAGGGATGCAGTGAGACTCCTGGGGGACAGGGGTGGAGAGACAAGCTAGATGTACCCCCCCCCCATCCTGCAGCCAAAAATGGCACCAGGAAGCAGATCCAGCTGCAGCAGCTATAATTATGCTGGGCTTTCTTTTTTCATAGTGTTCAGGATGTGGGGGCGCTTCTGGGTTTTGTTTGGGAAAGGGGGTGCCTCCTGCAGGCTAGGCCCCTGGAGTGTGGTGTGGCTGGCCCCTCACAGCACAGCACAGGTTTCTGTCTGTTTTCCACGGATTGCTCAATAGGTCCCCTGAACCCCTGAGCCCCAGGCACTGCCCCTCCCTCCTGCCAGCCACTCACCTCACCCCTCAGCTCAGCCATCTTGCGATCCATGCTAGAGCGCGCACCCAGCTCATCCTCCAGGTCCTCAGACATGCGGCCCAATTCATCCTGGTGTGTCTCCTTGAGGATGCTGAGCTGCAAAGACATCGCCCAGCCTGGTCACGAGGACCACCAGGATATAGCCCAGAGGCAATGCTGGATGAAGGTGAGTACCAGCCAGGGTAATGGGGTCCCCAGGGAACCAGAGCAGGCTGAATCTGGCCACTCGGTATTTCAGATGTCTGTCACCTCCTACCTCATCACAATCTGGCCTTTTGGTACCTGCACGTGACTTGGTCAGCTCACTGTCCATCATGGGAATCAAGAGTGAACTTTAACAAAGCCAAGTCAACCCCCCCCCCCCCCACACACACACACCAAAGCCCCTCTGAGGTTTTTCTCAGTTCCTTTAGATAGACCCCCAACTCCTGTGTTCTCACAAAGACATACAACATCACGTTCCTGTGTGCTCCTCCCACCCACCTGGCCTCGTCCCACTGCCCACGACTGCAAGCCTAGGGAACTTGCTTGCCTTCCCCATGGCTCTCAACACACACTGGTGGCTCTAAACACCAGTGTGCATGTATAGACACAAGAGCCGCTGTGGGCACTTCTCCAAGCTCTGCTTCCCACAAGCACACAGTGAGCCTCTAAGACAATGCTGTGGAAGGAAGCCAGGCACAAGAGGATTTTTCTGCTCGACTGTACATTGGTGCTCCATTTGTGTCCTTCCGCAACTATACTTGGTAGTCTGAAAAGTGTGGGGGCCAGGTTCCTGGACCCCAAAAGAAGAAGGGAGAGTCAAGTAGGCAGGGAGGGGCCTGGGACTCTTTTAGGAGCTTGAAGAGATTCCCAGGGAAGACCAGGTCTGGACAATTTTCCTATGCAAGTCTCTGCTCTTTGATCTCTGTGATCCCAGAGGATCCGGCAAGGCTTTCCCAGGATGGCTGCGCCCCCTGGTGGCCATACCCAATCTGTATAAGAGGCAGCCAACTCCCCAAACTCAAGGGCCTCACTGCTAAGATAGGAACGTGAGGACACAGCTCCTTTGACCGCAAGGAACTTCAATTTCACTTGACATACATTCACTTGACATCCATACATCTGACACCTCCATCCTGGCCACAAACCCTCTGAAATCCTACCTCTGACACAATTCTCCAGCCACACGAGCCTTCTCTGTGTCCAGCAGATACACTGGTGTCTGCCTATTTCAGGACTGCCGCTGTGAGCACCCAGATCCCCTATCTTCTCACAGTGATTTCATCTAACCCCTATAGGTCTTACTCCAAACAGCATCTTGTAGGGGAGCAAGGATGTTGAGACAGGCTCACTCTGTCTCAAATTGGCCTTGAACTCAAGGCAATCCTCCTGTCTCAGTGTCCCACATGCTAGGATTACAGGTGTGACCTGCCACGCCTGGCTCGGACATCATCTTATAGAGATCCTCCTCGGCCTCTTTATGCCATCTCCTTCATGCTGTTTCCCCCCACCCAAGATAGGGTTTCTCTGTGTAGCCCTGACTGTCCTGGAACTCAGAGATCCTCCTGCTTCTGTGTTCAAGTGCTGGCATTAAAGGCATGCACCACCACTGCCTGGCTCTCCATGCTGTTTTGGTGCCTTCTCAACACACAGACCTGAGCTGCTAGGTTACCAGGATCTCCCTGCCTGCGCTGGTGCTGGTACTCAGAACCATGGCCAAGTGAAGGAATTCCACCCTAACCTGTCCCCAAGACTGGAACTCCCCAGCATGCAGCTGCCACCACCAGGAGCCCCCCTCCCACGCCCAGCCCCCAGCCTTACTTGCTTGAGCATCTCCTGCTTGGTCTTGCTTAGCTCCTCGTATTTGATCTTCCACTGGCTAAGCTCCCCCTCCAGCTTCTCGATGCTCCTGCTCAGGGCCAGTTTGTCCCTGGGGAGGGGAACAGGCAAGCACATGGACTTTATTAGACTCCTTTTGTTTTGACTTCATATTTCAGGGGCTGTATTAGCTTGATTTTGTTGTTGTTTAAACGGTAGACTGTAGTCTCCCATATTCTGAGGCTAGAAGTCCAAGATGAGGTGTGGGTAGGGGAGGCAGTCAGGAAGACGCCATTCCATCTTCTCCCCGGCTTCTGCCGGTTACTGGTCCCTTTGGCTTTCCTTAGCCAAAGATGCAATGATACCCACAGAGGCATCATTCTGACTGTCATCACAGGGCATGCTTTCTTTCTTCCTCCCCTCCCTCCCCCGACCCACGGAACCCCAGGCTTTATACACGCCTGGCGAGCATTCTACCACTGAGCTGGTCCCCTCTTCCCAAGCCCTTATTTTGATTTTTTCAAAAGTAAAATCACATGTGTGAACCAAGTATATAATCTATACACTTATTTCCGGGTTACCAGGGCTGCAGAATATTCATGAGCATCAGCTCATACCCTCTAGGTGCTGTCATCAAAGTTACTGATGAGCGAGCGACACATTCTAAATCCACTGGCCAGCTAAGTGCTCAGCGCATCCACCCACTCCTACTCCACAGTCTTTCTTGGTTCCTTTTCCCTGCAGAGGGCTCCCTTTCCTCTCGCCCCACCCCTTCCTCTAGCCAGCCTTGGAACCTGACCGAGGCAGGACTCCATGTCACAGCCTACTCCTTGCCCATCCACTTCCGGTTCTGATTCCTGGCTTTCAAAGTAACCTGTTCATTGAGGACCCCTGCCTTTTACCTTTAGCCCAGATTTGCTGGGGCCTCCAGATCCATCCACAAATTGCTACCTTCCTGTGCCAAACACAACTCCTCTAAAACCGACCTTCCCAACTTCCTTTCCCCTTCTCACTTTCCCTGAGCCTGCTAACCTCTGTCACCAAAAGTTTGAGGTCACCAGAGACTACACAGCAAGCTCCAGGTCAGGTACTGAGGCTCTACTTTAAAAACAAAGGATGTGGGATAGAGAGATGGCTTAGAGGTAAAAGTACTTGCTGCTCTTATGGAGGACCCAGGTTTGGTTCCCAGCATCTAAAATGGAAGTTTGCAAGCACCTGTAATTCCAGTTCCAGGGGATCCAATACCCTATTCTGGTGGTACCCATGGGCACCAGACAGTCACATGGTACACGTACATACACACATACATACAAATCACTCACACATATAATTTACTTTTTGAGACAGGGTTTCCCTGTATAACTGCCCTGGCTGTCCTAGAACTCACTCTATAGACCAGGCTGGTCACCAACTCACAGAGATCTCCCTGTCTCTGTCTCCCTGGTGTTGGTATTAAAGGTGTGTGCTGCCATCACCACCCAGTCAAGAAGGCACACATAATCTTTTAAAATCCTTATAAAAAAATGAAAAAGATGCAGTCGTAGTGGATTCGCTCACTACTCTTAAATCTTAGATTGTGGGGCTGGAGATTTAGCTCAGTGGTAGAGTGCTTGCCTCGCAAGTCCAAAGCCCTGCCTGGGTTCTTTCCTCATCTCGCAGGGGCTGGAGAGGGGTATGGGGTGGGGGTTGAAATGGGAAAAAGACCAAACAAAACAACAAAAACAGAAACCCAAGCAAACCCCAAAATCAAAACCCCCAAACCACCCCAAGGGAACTAAAATCCAAGCTTGTGCCTCAGTAGATTTCATATAATCACTTAGGATCCCAGGGTGCCCAGCCCCAGCCCCAGCCCCGACCTTCCCCTCTGGACTCACTCTCGTTCCTTGAGCAGCACCTTCTGAGATTCATCCAGCCGCAGCCGCAGGGCAGTCAGCTTGGAGGCATCCTCTTCTGTACTGGCTGTGTCCTCCCAGGGCAGGCGGTTGCGATCCTGGCGGCCTGAGCTAGCCCGGGAGCCCCCAGCCGCCACACTGCAGACATCCCAGCAGCCCTCAGGCTCCTCTGGTCTGCTCTTCAGCAGGCTCTCTACCAGGTCCAGCTCCTGTGGGGACCAAGGTAGGGACTGCACCGGGCCCAGCCTGGCCACCATCCTCATGGCCATCTCTGGCCCTGCTCTGGAATGAGCTTGCTAAGTGACCTGGGGCTGGTGACACGGGGCCTCTGGGCCCTGGTTTCTTATGCTGCTTACTTCATTCTCCTTCTCTGGGCCTCTTCTGTCACATCTTGGAAGTACACTGCCAGCCCCCAGAGTTTCCTATACCCTGGGAGGGCCCCCTGTCACCCCAAGGATGCAAACATTGGGTGAACTAGTTGGAACAGATGCTGAAGTGGGGATTCCTACTAGGGCTTAGGATTCCAATTCGGGGGGGGGGCAAACATGGTCACAGGGAGATTAGTGGCTCCGAGGACTTTTAAAGGCCTGACTTCCCACCCTATTGACCTCAGGTGGTCCTGGCGGGGCACTCTGGTTGCCACCTGGGACAGATGGAAACACCAGAAAGGAGGATCGCATTATAGAGTGCGTGGGTTGGTGTGCAAACTCACACTGTAGACCTGAGGCTTCCTAAAGTGTCCCTAGAGACTCTGGGGCTGTGAGGGCAAGAAGAGGATGAGTGAGGTCCTGGTCGCTAGGTTAGAGAACGTCTTCAAATACCAGGCCACAGGGAGAGGGCTAGGCCAGAGAGGAGGGTGTCAGCTAAGAGTCTCATTGCTAGGATCCGGTCTCCTGGGGACCAAAGCCCAGGCCTTGCCTGTGTGGCCTGCCCTGGTATCATTATCCTGTCCCAGCCATACTATGTGTTACCACTCACTATCAGGAGCAAGCCCAGCAGCTGGAGAAGCAACACAGACCTTGCTTGGCTCTGACTCTTCCTGTCTCAGAGACTGCTATAGGGACTAAGGAGATAATGCATCTATAGGCACGAAGTGAAGGGTATAGATACCACTACCCCCCAGGTTCAGCAGGCCTCCAACCTCCCAGTTTTAGCAATGACCACCAACTACTTACTATAGATTCTGGCACTTCCCACAGCTGATCTGAATACCTATCAGTCTGGGCTTAACTAACTTCTTTGGGGGAAGCTTTTCTGACGCCCCTCCCAAAGGCCTGGCTCAGGACCAGAGAGCCAGCTCTACCACTAATCTAAGCCAAGTCCATGGATCTTTCCTGTGCTTGGTGTGGAAGATTCTTTGATTTTGATGACATCTAAGGTGTATGTGGGGGCGGGGGTGGGCAGACCACCAGAACTTGGAGCTCTCCAATACAAGATGATCTTTACCTGCCCTCTCCACTACCACCACGTGAGGCTGAGACTCCCCACTGGAAACCAGATCCTTACTAGTTCTTTTTCATTGCTCCCTCCCACCTGTGCCCCTGTGCAAGGCTGGCCCAAATGCCAGCCTTCTTCTAAGTCGTGTAGTTGGGCGCACCTGGCTACCAGGCGGCCTCTCCGCCCCGATGTCGCGCACAGGTTCATTCTCGCGCTCAGGCTCCGGGCCATCGTTTGTCTTGTCCACTGTGCCACGCGCTCCCCGCAGCCGGGCCAGCTCGCGGCCGCGCGCCTCGCACTCGCC